AGCGCCACCATAATGATTAAGAAGACACTTTTATTTTTATTTAATTTCAGTCATAAATAATAATAAAAAAGCTTACAGGTACAGAAACGTCAAAATAACACTACGTAAATATTCTTAACCACTGTACGAGTATACTAAGATTACAAATGATAAAATTAAAGATTATAAATAAATAAATAAATAAATAAATAAAACTCGAAGACGCAGATATTTCACTCGAGGAAAAATAATCGGTAGTAATCTAGGAGGAAGTTTTTTTTCCCCTGGGGTAGAGTAAGGAAGAGAGAGTGATGGTAGTGTAGTAGGCAGTATCAGCCAGGCGTCCACTACCAGTGACGCTAGCCAGGTCCTCCTCCTCCCGTACACTCATTCATTCACTCCCTAGCCTCCCTCCGTCCCTCCCTCATCACGGTCTGGAGGATGAGATGATGGAGAGAGAGAGAAAAAAAAAAGCTAGGATAAGAGGTGAAACTAAAAGAGGAAGAAGAATAATTTATGAGGAATAGGAGGAGGAGGGGGAGGAGGAGATCAAATAAAAAAATGGAAAAGCAGAGAAAATGAAAAGAGGAAGAAGACTGTACGAGGAAAAAAAGGAGGAGGAGGGAAAGATAATATGGAAAAAATGGAAAAGCAGAAAGCAACAAGAGGGTGGAGGGGAAGACACAGGAGGTGGTACAGTGGGGCAGTGAGAGTCAGGTAAGCCATTAAGGTGAGGAGGACGAGGAAGAGAGGGGCCGGAAACGGAAGTAGAGAGGGAGGAGAGCTAGCAGACCCCCAGGCCCCCTCTTTCCCCTCACCACTCCACTAACAACCTCACAACCCCTCGTACACCACCCTCATCCCTCCAACACCCCTTGCCACCCCTAGTACACCCCTTACTACCACTCCTACACCCCCTACCACCCCTCCTTCACTCCCTATCACCCCTCCTACTCCCCCTACCACTCTCCGTACACCCCCACCACTCGTTTTCCACACCCATTAATAACACACCACAGCGCCCCTCTCACACACGGCAAATTAACTTGTGGCAGCAAACTTTCTACAGTCAGGTAAGACTGTGCGTGTGTGAAATAATTCTAGGCAAGTCCCCGTTCAAATTTAAAAGGAGGATGGGCAAAAACATTAAGCAGGGGAATTTAATTATTTTCTGTCACTATCTGAACAACAACAACAATTATAATAATAATAATAATAATAATAATAATAATAATTATAATAATAATAATAATAATAATAATAATAATAATAATAATAATAATAATAATAATAATAATAATTAAACATTATTTTCAGGGAGGGATAAAACTACATGTATATATCACAAATCTAAATACAATATACAAGTTTAAAGTAAAATAATACGATCACTCGAGTAATTGTAAATACCAGGGAGTATTAAAAAAAAATCCTATACTTGTGAATGCAGAGGGAGAGAATCTATTTACGTCACGAACACCGACGACAACACAGGTCCTCATCCCTCCCTCCTTCCTTCCTTCACCCTCTCTCTCCCACCCTCAGAAGGCCCCGCTCATCTCAACACTCCATTAAGAGTTTTTCCCTGCATTAGAATGAACCTCTGTGATACAAAGGCCACAAAAACACTCCCGTAACACGTGACTCATCGGCCGCACCTGAGCGATCCATTGTAAAAAAACTCACGTCTAGGGGGCGGGAGTTCGTAGAGACGAGTCTGGTTTATTTCTCAGTCGTGACGTCAGTGGATCCACAAAAACGATGCGTCTGCTCTTACCCATCCACCACAGTCACCTACTAACACGGGTCTTTGAATTCTTGTGTACATTGATCACCTTACTCAAATATACAGTCCTCCTAAAGTCCATAACAAACGGCCGCCAAAACACTTATACTGTACACATTACTATTAATACCACCACTATTGATGTCTTTAATGATAGAATTTGATAATTAGGGGGAAAAAATACACCTGCCACAACAATGTCATCTGAGCAGCTCCAGATATGACCCCACTTGTAACTCGACATATAAAAACAGCGTAACTCGTAGATATAAATGAAAGTCGGTCTTGAAGGGTTTTGGGGATCTAATTTATACTTACATTATCTACGTTTCTGAAATTTGATGTTTTTTCTCCTCAAATTTCCCCCCAGAAAAAAATGGTGGCTGTTTTAAACCTTATAACCCAATTTATCCCATTTACAACATGACATAGTGAAACTGAGGACCCCAGACTTACTTACAACGGACCCTCTGATGGTGATGTTGGTGTCATAGTTCAGGGAGGTGTTATATAACAAGAGAATGGAGAAGGATGAGTTAACTCTGACGTCAATAGTTTGTGTCTTAATATTATCTCTATGCTACCGATTTAACTTACCTGTACACGCTAATCATTACTACAGGTGACATTACATTAATTACCCTTCAGTAACATAGAACTTGGAATAATTAAATGTTTCTTAATCATCCACACTACTACTACTTTGCTGCCAATCGAGTATGACGATCATCCAGCTATGATAAGATGATATGAGTTATTAAGGATGTCATCTTCTTTGGTGAACTCTGAGGTGACTAGAGAGGCCGATACGGGACCGGCATTGCCGTTCACAGATGTTGCATGTGTAGAGGGCTACATCTAGTGCAGGAAGGGCGGCTGCAGTGTCTTTCCTGAGTTGACGCTTGTCTGCCAGAAGGCTTCCCTGTTGGCCGAGTCGAAGGCGTTGGTTAGGTCGATGAAAGTCGTGTACAGGTCATGACGCTGTTCTCTGTACTTTTCCTGGCGGGCAGCACAGATCATGTCAGTGGTGCCATGTGATGGTCTAAAGCCACAATGAGATTCTGGGAAGAATTTTTTTTTGCTTCGGGAAGAAGTCTGTTTCGGAGGACTCGGGCGATAATCTTATCAACTACAGACAGCAGCGAGATCCCGCGATAGTTGCCACAGTCTGACCGGTCTCCCTTGTTCTTATAAATATTGTTTAAGAGTTTGGGGGATTTTCTCCTTTTCCCATACATTCTCCAGGGGAGAGTGGAGACGGCTGGTAAGCAGAGGTCCTCCTGCCTTATAAACCTCGGCTGGGATTCCATCAGGTTCTGAGGCTTTGTTATTTTCCATCTGTTTGATGGTAGTAGCTACCTCATCCAGGGATGGAGGATAGCTGAGATGGGTCAACTTTGGATGCTGAGGGACCTGCTGGGTAGTCAGGACGTCCACATCGGTGTTTTGGTTGAGCAGCGATGGTGGTGCTCTTTAAAGAATTGAAGGATGCCTTCATCGTCTTTAATTAGGGCTGAGTTTAACAGTGGCTTGAGCGTCTCCTACCGTTTATTACACACCTAAAACAATCCACATAATTTCCTGGTTACATAATTGATGATGATGATGATGATGGTTATGAAATTATAGGTGCATAATTTCGTGAACATAAATATTAAACATACTCGATCCTGCAGACACACTCTAAACTATCATAGTTCTAGAGAAGTTCACCCAACTAAACGGCGCCACAGAAAACTACTCACAGAAAACGTACTTCCCACACTGGGCAAGCTATAACTGGGTTATAGCTTGCCCAGTAGTGTACCGTGTGTGTGTGTGTGTGTGTGTGTGTGTGTGTGTGTGTGTGTGTAAACAAAAAAATATAAAGAAAATTTAATATCAACCTATTAATTCACACTTCATCTGAAAACATCATAAAAATCCTGTAAATCACCAACCAATACACAAAGCGCTCGTCAACCAGAAATAAAGTTTGTATTCTTGGACGCCTCATTTAAGAGATCACACAAAATACTAGAATCCCCCAAAAGCCATCACCAAAAGCCATCAGGGTCGGTGCCAACAAACTTAATAAATGATAAACACTTTCGAGATAAGATTCCATGGGAGAGTAAAAACCGATAACGCGTGACAAGCGCCTTTGGAAGAGTAACTGAGGTGTTAACTGTTATCATAGTTACCCCTCCCGTGCTCTCTCGTGGTCGAGAGCCCAGAGAGATACACATTTTTTTTAGTGTTCTTAAAATAACAACAAAACTGAACATCGTTGGTTTCTGAATGTCGGGCTGTTGTTGTGATTTCTAAATAAAACTAATAATAATAATGCCATCTTAGCTGCATAAAATTCTATATCATATTTTTTAAGTGTTGTAACGATATAATTAGCAACCTTGTTATGCGCTTAAAGACCTTAGTTGTTGAAGGGCAGTAATAACATTATAACAAAAACAACAACAAACTCGTGAGTGTCGGCTACCACAGTAACACTCTGAACATTTTATATTTATTTATTTTTATTTTTATTACCAATTTTACCAATCTCTCTAGGGACCCAGATTTTAATATGTGTAATAATAAACAGTTATATTCAGATACATCAGTAAAGGTTCTTAAGTTTAATTATGGGTAATTTGTGGTGAGCTTAAAGGCCAAACCAAACTGTTCTGAACTATAGAACTACAAGAGGGAGTCGAACAAGGGACGTCAAGAAATTAGGCAAGAATATATATAAACCAACCGTGAAAATGTACCTTTAAGCGACATACTTGGTATACAAAAAATAGTTGAGAAAAAAATGGTAAATAAGTTTTACCCAACACAAGAGAGTAACACGACAGCTGCCACAAGTGATGTCAACCCAACAACAACAACACTAGCCGTCTCTGGAAGGTCATCCCATGTGACCCCACGTCTGTGACAATACTGACCTCTCTCATCAGTCACCCTTCATCCTCACCCTCCCCGCTGCGTCATCCTGTCCTCTCTTCCAGACACGAGTACTACTTACCTGAGTTAGGCATCTCGTACTCATGCTAAGATTTGGACTGAGTATCATACCATTCCTCATAAGAAACAAACACATGATACTCGGCCATGTCCGGGCTCTTGGGTACTTTCAAAGAGTAAGTGAACACGTACTCAACCCCGTAGTACTCAAGGAAGCTGCCTATTTGATGAGTACAGACTCTGAAATCCACCCCGACATACCGAACTCCAATATCAAGGTACTTACGTGAGTTGGGGATCTCGTACTCCACTTCGAGGTCAACCTTCTCGCCGGCATTTTTGAGGAGGGTGACAATCTGGGCGTGGGAGAGGGCGTGGGTGCGGATACCGTTGACGGCGAGGATGTAGTCTCCCACGCTGAGGGCATCCGAGCGGTGGGCGGGAGAACCAGGTCGCAGGTTAGCCACGCGCGGACGGTGGCCTTTGTCCACTCCTCCTGTTGGAAGATATAGTTAGTACCCCTGTCCACCTCCTGCAGGAAGATATAGTGCTCCTTGTCCACCTCCTGCAGGAAGAAATAGTACCCCTGTCCACCTCCTGTTGGAAGATATAGTTTAGTACCCCTGTCCACCTCCTGCAGGAAGATATAGTACTCCTTGTCCACCTCCTGCAGGAAGAAATAGTGCTCCTTGTCCACCTCCTGCAGGAAGATATAGTGCCCCTGTCCACCTCCTGCAGGAAGATATAGTGCCCCTGTCCATCTCCTACAAGATGACATAGTTAAGTACCCCCTATTGTGTCATTTTCTCCTTCATTAATATAAGCGACAAAAATCACATAAACGTCCCCCAAGACTTCCCTGAGTTGAGTAAACTAATATTTCCTCAGTTTATATCAAGTCGACCTCATCACTAAACACAAACATCTCCTGTTAAGTTATGAGATGCATAAATATAGACCAAGAAAGACAGGGAGAATTACCAGTGAGAAGAAAGCCATAAGATATTAGATTATTTAATGATATTTAAAAGCACTGAATGTATCACTGGAATATGTGGCCGGTAAACTCAAGCCTCGCGCGGACTTTGTATAAACACTAAGCTTGATGTGATTAATGTGTAACTCCCGCCAGACCAACTGTGTAAATAACATAAATCTGTCGTGCACGATGTACATTTCGGCAAGCGGTGAAAATAACTACGGGGAAAGTAATAAACATGCAGGAGTGAATGGGGGGAGAGAGGGAGGTGGGTATATGAGGTGAGGCTGTGTCAACAAAGTAAGAGCTATACCTGCTACCAGCTGAAGGATTAAAATTGAAACAACATAGACTAGCCCGGCGCGCTGAGATTGTACCGCGCTGAAGATATTCTGGGCATGCGCAGTTAGATCAAAACATCATTTAAAGTCTGAGGTGTGCTGAGATTACCCCTCGGTATAAATGTTTCGGTTAAGTTGGGTAAGGTTAGGTTTGGTTAGGCTAGGTTAGGTTTGGTTAGGCTAGGTTAGGTTAGACTACTACTACTACTACTACTACTACTACTACTACTACTACTACTACTAATAATAATAATAATAATAATAATAATAATAATAATAATAATAATAATAATAATAATAATACATCATCCAAAACCTGCCCACGAACCTAGTGAAGTTGTTACTGAAAATTAATGTAGTCACCGCCGGAGACTGCCTCGTGTCATCGTTTTCTTTAAACCCCTGAATACAATATTTAGCATCACTGCATGAATTCTTACCATGGCAACATCTAGTCAATTCCGGAGAGATTTACACCATTTTTATTTATCATGTGGATTTTTGACACATTTTGATCAAACCTACCAAGTTGTTGAAGAGAAGCAAGCCCACCCTGAGTTATTTTTGGGGAGACAGACGGACAAGAACGAAAACAATATAACCCGCCCCTCAGCTGCGAGCAGGGTAGTAAACACTACAACCACCACCATAACCTCGGGCAGGCCTTGTTGTCAAATGGTTTCAGTGTGCGTATCACAATATGTGGGCTACAGGTTCAACTCCCAGCTTACACAGTTGCCAGCCATAACACAAAGGGCAGTTGGCGAAGTGATTCTACGAGAGAGAGAGAGAGAGAGAGAGAGAGAGAGAGAGAGAGAGAGAGAGAGAGAGAGAGAGAGAGAGAGAGATACCAACACTATGTTGAGTAGGCCATAAAAGTGCTGCAGGTGACTGGCTGACACTTGGACATGAACCACCTGTGTCCTTCCTTGACGCGTGCGCACACACACACAATCCGTCACATTTACCAGCCATCGCACCAACCTGCCCTCTGGCCCTACATGTAAACCCCCTCCCCCCCGACACAGACCCCACACAGTGTCCCACGAGACCCTGGCCCTGAACAATGGCCCATCTTACCTAACACTCGCCTGCTCCTCCCGTTATGGCCCTGCGGTACTATGACCCCTCACAGTGCAATATTATCATGCCCTATTCCCTCTCTAGAGAACCTGATGCCCAACAATCACACAAGTCTGAGTATCGTGGCCCCATGAGAGAGTCTGATCCCATATAGGGACTATGGCATCATGCCTTAATGGATTCCTGGAGCCTTAGAGTGCAGTCCCGGTGCAACGGAAGTCTAGAGCCTTAGAGTTAAGTGCCACAATGCCAGTATGGACTTCTGGCACCATAAAGAAACTGCCGCTATGCCTCACGAGGAGGTGGCCCTACACGGAACAGATAAGAGAGAGGTTCCAAGAATGCCTTACTTTACGTCCCCGTGTGTCACTGTTATGCCCCGGGGAGCCATAACACGTACTACTGTTTTTTCGCTCTACCTAGAATGTGCAGAAGATGTATCCACGAGTTAATGTTTGAACAGTAGTACGTGTACCTGGTTTACAAGAAGGACCTGGGTACATATCTCCATGTGTCACTGTCACACCCAGGACGACCGTAAAACGTTATCAAGTTCATAAGTGTCCGAGGTATGTGTCCACGTGTTACTCTTACGCCCTGAGGGTCATTAATGTACTGATATGTCCTCAAGTTTGCCAAGAATATCCGAAGTATGTAGCTTATGTGTCATGGGGGGGGGGGACTGCGAAATACACTCATGTGGCATAACACTGTATGTGTCTCCCCGCGTCTTATGGGAGGGAGGGAGGAAAGGAGGGACGAAGGAAGGAGGAGGAAAGGAGGGAGGGAAGGAAGGAGGTTAGAGAGGGAAGGAAGGAGGGAGAAGACACCATGTATCCCAGCAGTGTCTCAAAGTCACGCTCGACGGAGACAGGAAATTACTGGCGACGGCCGTCATGTACTGACACTAACTTTTTTGTTGTGGGTGAGTCTTGAACCCCTTTCCTTAGCATGGGCGTGGTCTGAGGTGCCAGGGCGTGGGCGTGGGTGAGGAGTGCCCCGCCGGATATACAGGCGTGGGAGGGGGGGATATCAACGTGGGCGCGTGGTCCTAGGAGACAACCCAGGACAAACTGAAGCATATTCTTTCTCGCCCTCTCCTCTCCTCGCCCAGTCCTCAATCTTCGCCTCCTCCCTCCCAACCAGACAGTTACTTGCTACTCCCTCAGATGGCTAATATCCACGGGAAGGGAAGGGTGGGGGAAGCCGCAAGGGTAGGGGTAAGAGAGAGAGAGAGAGAGAGAGAGAGAGAGAGAGAGAGAGAGAGAGAGAGAGAGAGAGAGAGGGAGAGAGAGAGAGAGAGAGAGAGAGAGAGAGAGAGAGAGAGAGAGAGAGAGAGAGAGAGAGAGAGAGAGAGAGAGAGAGAGAGAGAGAGAGAGAGAGAGAGAGAGAGAGAGGTGTTTCTTGGCGTTACGACCACCAGCATGTGATGGCCACACCCTTGATGGTCACGAAGAACTTGTCATTGGTACAGACACACAAAGGCAGAAGTGGAGACTAAGGAAAACCACGGAGAAGGGCACGTATGACTGTGTCTGAGACGGCTGTACACACACACACACACACACACACACACACACACACACACACACACACACACACACACACACACACACACACACACACACACACACACACACACAAACCATCAAGAGTTACAGGCTCATGACATATTTTCGGATATATTTAACCAGCCCTGTGAACGACATACCAAACTGACTTGACTGACTGACGCATTGAGACAAGTCACCCTCCCCTCCTCTCTCGCGTGGTGTTACCGGGCGTATGAGCCAAACCTAATACTACAGGCAGATAAGACGGATCCTAGGTTACCACCACCGAGGTCTCAGTCACTAGGACCCCAGGGCCTCTGTTCTCTCACCCCCCCCTTGATCTGAACCCCAGCTCTATCCTGACTTCGCCCTTCCACTCATACACAAGTCAAACACAGGATTAAGTTACAGTTTTGTAGAGTAATATCCATTTGGTGAGACTATCAGAGAGAAAAAGTGTATTCACAAGTTTAGAAAGTTTATTACGATACACTAGTACAGGTAGAGGTTTAGGTATAAGTACAGGGAGACTAATTACCACCAGGTGACATTCTCCTGGGTGACGTCTCGACCTTGCCTACTAAAACTTACTCTATTCGTCCATAGGTTCAGTAGACCGCTGGGGTGTGGCTTCTAGTACATACAGCCAAGACAATATTTAAAACACCAATTGCTGTCCTGTTGTATTTCTTGAGATATTAATTATTTACAACCCGTAATATACAGAAAATTATGTTTATGATATAGACAAAAGACAAAGATTTCATAGAGAAGTTCAGTAAAAGTTTCATACCCTAAATATTGAACCAAAGTTTCAGACCCAGAATATTGTACCAAAGTTTCAGACCCAGAATATTGAGCCCTACTCTTCCTTAACTAAGATCTGTTACAATATTAGTACTACGAAATGAAACAAAGTTATTCATGTCTTTGTACAAGTTACATTTAAACCAAAAATCATTTAAATTAAAGAATTACCATATTTTTTACCCATCAACAATTAATTTTATACCTGAAACAATGCAACTGTTTAATTACCTATCATGACTGCTTTGGGTCACAGATACGTAATTGGTAACTCACATATTTGTATTAAGTAACTCCCATATATGTATAAGTAACTCCCATATATGTATTAAGTAACTCCCATATATGTATAAGTAACTCCCACATACAGTATGTATCAAGTAACTCCCATATATGTATAAGTAACTCCCATATATGTATGCATAAGTCATAACTCCGACTGCGTGTGTTAGTGTACGATGAGTGACCAGGACAGATAAGGGGAGGCAGTTACTCACTTTTCCTAAGACGTGAGGCGAGAAAATCCGGCAGAGAGACGGACGACATCCGTTTGAGTTTCTTGAACATGGCGGCGGTGGTGGCAGAAGGAGGAGGAGGGAAGAGTTGGTTCCTTAGGGTGACGGTCTACCATCCACCCCCTCACATTACTGTCACACTCAATGACCCGTACCATAAAACACAACGCCGGCACGAGCGACCAAACAGTGCCTGGCGATCCTCCTCCCTTCTACCCCCTCAGTGACAAGGTTAGGGAAATTACTGGTGCTTTATCGTGGAAGGAACATTTTCTTAGCTAGGTGCCATCATATTACAGTGATTTTCTAGAGTTTTTGAGGATGCAGCGGTGATATTTCTGTACACTGAATACCTGGTGATATTTTCTTTCTTTGTCTGTGAGATATATAGACAGATTTTATTGTAGTATGAATTCCACTTCCTGTCTTTTATTTCAGTCTGTCTCAACGTATCTTTTATAATATTGTCATCGGCGACGTCAAGTCTAAATTTGTTACTTTCTCCAGATGGTCCAATAATAGTTTCAAACATTTACACAGCCATAGTTAATTTATTTTGTTTATTTTTGTTTTAACCAGGTTTTACGCGTCAGTCAGCCAGATATTACCAGAGGACTTGTACACTCCCAGCTCCCACATTCACAGATCTGTACTAATGTTCCCGCCATAAACTTCCTTCCCCAACCACACACTCACTTTATTGCACATCATAATCGTCAGAAAATCGTCGTAAACTGGAGCGTTATAGAGTCACGCTTCTTGACAGTCGCATCTTTTCATGACGTTCACTTGTTTTATAGACCCCATGTGCGCTATATATTTCCTTCCCGCGCTGTGCAGTTCTCATTTGTTTTCATGGTTATCTCCTTAGCGTTGAATTTATTGCATGTCACGTTTTTCACTTCATGTAATCTTAGAAAATGGTTATTTTATTGTTCTCCACGACCACTGTGTCACACCACGTATCATCGCCACTTGCTAGCGTGTCAAGACCTCACCTTCTCGGTCTTACTTTGGTATGTCGGATTCTTATCTCATCAGCCAGGGAGAGCCATGGATGGTTCTCCACTAATGACAGCAGAAGGAAAACATTCTTCACCCTCAGTTCATCACAATAACTGCCCAGAAGTGCCGACAGCGTGCCAACTTAGTAAATAAAAACGCCGAAGGTATAATGCCGAGTTTACCACACAAAGGCATCGACGTGTTGCCAATTTTAGCAAACAGAAGCATCGACAGTGTTACCAACTTGAGTAAACATAAGTGTCGACGGTGATACCAGTCTCAGTAAGCAGAAGTACCACTTGGTAGCCTCGTCTCGCCAGCACCACTCCACAGTTCGTTACAACATATAGTTTCTCGTTCGTTCGTAAGGTTTTGTTGTGTGTTTTAAGTTGTGCCGAGCTCCATGTTGGCTCAGATGCGTCTCCCACATAAGACACGGCTCTCCACTACACCTTTAAGGGTAAATAAATGAGTCGTGAAGGTAATGACGTCTACCTCGCTGCCAGAAACTGCTTCAATTTGTAGCTATGCAGACTAGAATAATTGTTTGTGGGCGTGATGTAAGGTGGGCGTGGATCTGTGTGTTATGGATAGTGTGTGTGTGTGTGTGTGTGTCGAATTTTGGGCGTAGCGGCGTGTTGCGTAAGTGTGACGGAAAGTAGGCGTTACAAATTGTGCAAATTGTGGGTGTGGGCGTAGAGACGTATGGGAATATTGTACAATCATAGAGTGTTTCCATTACAAGGACAACAAACACACCAACACCACTATTACCACCACTTCCTCTTTAACACCATCATCAACAACACCACCGCCACCAACAATAACACCATCACCACAACCATCTACTTGTAGCACACCATCACTATCACCACAGCCAGTATAGCACCACCGTCACTCACAACAGCAACAAGTAGCAGGGTGAGGGGCGGCAGGAGGGGTATGTAGACTCACTGTAGAGGAGCCACGAGGACTACCCTGGCTCACAGCTCATCTCTCACGTCACACATGTTTGTAGTGTAAACATTCGATTTTCAACTAATTCTCAACCTCATCCACACCACTTCTGAAGGTGTACCCCGCACAGATATTAATACCATCACACCTTACACCTGAAACTCTCTATATTACTCTACACCTGAAGCTTTCTATATTACTCTACACCTGGTTCTCTCTATATTACTCCACACCTGAAGCTTTCTATGTTACTCCACACCTGAAGCTTTCTATATTACTCTACACCTAAAGCTCTCTTTTACTCTACACCTGAAGCTCTCTACTGTATATTACTCCACACCTGAAGCTTTCTATGTTACTCCACACCTGAAGCTTTCTATATTACTCTACACCTAAAGCTCTCTTTTACTCTACACCTGAAGCTCTCTACTGTATATTACTCCACACCTGAAGCTTTCTATGTTACTCCACACCCGAAGCTGCCCATATTACTCTACACCGTGGCAGGTCAGAGGTCAGACTACAGGCACCAGCACAGCACCTCACCCCATATATAGCAACAAGAGGCAGCAACACCACCTTATCTGGCATCACTGGCTTCCCCCTCCCCCTCCCTTCACTGTGACACATAATTAACCATTCCATGAATTCAGAAACAACTAAACCAAGTACACAGATTTACACAAGTACACGTACACAGATTTAATAATGCAGGAAAGTACACAGAAAGTACTCCTAAGTGTAGAGTATTTCATTGTGGGTTGATTTGACACCACAAGCAACCCAGACAGCTTCACTCCCTCATTTCCTCTCCTCTTTGGCCATGGCACGTTATTTATGGCTAGTATTAAGAGGGTAGTGCCAGAGACAGTCTTAAATGAGACGGATGGTTGTCGCGCGCTCGGCCCAACCCATACAGAGAGAGAGAGAGAGAGAGAGAGAGAGAGAGAGAGATACAGGATATATCTGGGTTATATTCCGGCCAACACTGACACATGTTGAAGGAGACTTAAACTAGCTTATACACTGAAGGAGATCCACCACTGTCAAGGCATTATGAGTGAGACAGCTGCTGATAGTCTGAGAAGGAAAAACAAAATTGAAGCTGGGAAATTTTACATGAAAAAACTCATTAAACTCATCGTATATATTAAAAATTAAAGATCTTTTGAAGATAATTAAAGCAAGGGGGGGTTGAGTAGGAGGTGTTTATGTATGTAAGGGGAGGAGGTGTTCCCATGAGGACTTGCCTGGGCCCCGACGCACCCCATACCATCAAAGGCGGCCCTCTTGAACCTATACCCACTATCCCTAAGACACAACACCCTGATAGATTATTTCCCAGACAAACATAAGCCCAGAAAGACTGATAGACAAACAAACACATTAACCGAGACAGACAAACAGACACAAACAAACAGACAGACAGACAGAAACCCAGAAAGCGAACAGAAACAGACAGACAGACAAACAAACAAAAACCAAGAAGAAGAAACATAGGCACCGAGACAAACAAACAAACAAACAAACAAACAAACAAACAAACAAAGACGGACATACACACAGACAGTCAACGCCACACGGTAATAATATAATGTAAACACACAAAACCCTCAAAATATTTACCCTGGCTGTGACGTGCTCCACCCACACTCCCCTCAGTCAAAGAACTTATTCACAGAAAACTAGACAGAAGGTTGTATTAATGCCTCACTAGAGCTTTAAATTATAGAATTGTGTATTTTGAAGACTGTGTGTGTGTGTGTGTGGTGAGGTGGTGTGGTGTGGTGGTGGTGGTGTGGTGAAGTACTGTAATGGTGTGTTATCGTAGAGGTATGATACTGTATGGTTATTATAGTGGTATGGTACCATATGGTGTGGTGGTGTGATAATGTAGTGGTAGGATATAACTCTTATCATATACAGTAGTCAGTACAAAGGGGCTGAGAGTAGCATCATTAAATGTAATCATGACACATATCCCTTACTGTTGTGTACACTGTGAAGGATTAAAATACGTCCTATTGTCTATACGATAAATAATTTCAGTTCAAGGCAGACGAGGCAGCTTCCTAAAAATTAAGAACAAAATCACAATAAACAGTTGCTGAGTCAGTACACCAGATGAAGAGTAACCAAAACATAACATAAATATTGCCACCATATGTCTGTAGGGTTCATATTTCAGGTGTTTCTCAAAGTATAGGATCACACTACTGCAGGTTAACTTAACCACAATACTGTTTCTGTCACCAGGTGGTCAATGTCACTCTTCACCAGGTCCGTCACCTTCTAGTTCAGATCACGAGTACCTCAAACCTTACAAAAGTCAGGGGTGAGATAGTCTCCAGGGTAGGTCGTGTAGGGTCGGTCTCGTGGCCTCGGCTGACCCTCCACACACACACACACACACACACACACACACACACACACACACACACACATGCCACGCGCGCGCGCATGCACACACACACACTAACAGAGGGTAGCCATTTAAAGCATAAAGTTTGCCATCATCACAATGTCTGACGCGTCGGGAATTCCATTTTCTGATTCTTGGAGAACACTCGTAAGTCGAGGAGGCGAGGTATTCCGCTCCTCCACGCGTGTGAGTTGGTGTACACACACACACACACACACACACCAGGCAGGCAGGTCTTGGTGAGGTGGCTGGTGGCGGGTCACGGGTGAGAGGCGTGGGTGGCTCCGCGGTGCCTGGGCCGCGGTGGGACACACACTGACGCATCTCCCTACATCGCGCCCCCACCCCACGCCCTGCACAAAGTAGCGATGGAGAGGAGGGGCGATTAAGGGGTGAGACGGAGGGAAAAGGTAGGGAGGGAGGGTAAAGGGGGGAGGGTGGAGGGAGGGTGGAGGGAGGGAGGGTAATGTTGGGAGGGTGGAGGGAGGGAGGAAGAGAAGTGGCAGATAGAGAGAGATGGTAATCAAGTGTTACCACTTACTATGCCTGCTACACTTATCACTCACTGCTTACGCGCACCACGCCCCCACCTCATAACCACGCCCCCTTCTTATACCCACGCCCCCTTCTTATACCCACGCCTCACCATGCCTTTCTACACGTTGTCGAGATGGTTCACCTCACCCAAAATAAACGAACGGACATACCACCCTCACACACATACACACACACACACACACACACACACACACACACACACACACACACACACACACACACACACACACACACACACACACACACACACACACACACACACACACACACACACACACACACACACACACACACACACACACACACACACACTCACACACACACACACACACTCACACACACACACACACACACACACACACACTCACACACACACACATACACACACACTCATCATCCATCACACCCTGTTACTCCCTAATTCCGTAAACAGAATCAGATTGTGAGTTTCTTCAATAATATCAATACTATCACCCTTAATCCCTTCAGTAGGGGGACGTCATATTTTATTTAACCAACGAAAGATAATTTTGTTTCAGTAGAGAAGGGATCGGTACACAAGGGGTTAGGTATAGTATTTAAGTCCCTATACGCAGATACCCCAGGGAGGAGAGTGAGGGCTACATATGCAAGGCCACACACACACCTGGGGGCCACACACACACCTGGGGGCCACACACCTGCTGTACCTGTAAGCAAGAATACACTCATCCCTGTCAAGTTAGCGGGAAGTAGGGAGGGCGAGGTGTTGGTATAGACACTAATTAGACAGCGGTGTGATTTGAGTCAGACTAAGACATTCTGCTTACACTCTCACTCCTTCTCCTGCTGGGGGAAGAGGAGGAGGAGGGGAGATAGAAAGAAGGGAATCAAGAAGGTAAGAAGGAGGAGGAAAATAAAAGAAGAAACCTAGATGGGCACAGAAAATGGTGTTACTAATACTAACTAACTAACTAACTAACTAACTAACTAACTAACTAACTAACTAACAGGAAGGGGTAGAGGAGATAAGGAAGGATGAGGAGAGGTAAGGAGTGGAGAGAGGAGAGAACGCACACACACACACACACACACACACACACACACACACACACACACACACACACACACACACACACACACACACACACACACACACACACACACACACACACACACACACACACACACATACACACATACACACTCTTTTACTTCATTATCATTCCTATAACTCAAAACAAAAACAGCAAACAATGACAAATAACATCAACAACATTACACAAACACAACTAAACACATCATTATATAACATCATAATTGTTGACATTAAAGAAGACACATACATCACCGCCCTTCCTGTCCTCTTGGTAACGACAAAGACCAAAAGAAAAAAAAACCCAAAAAAACTAAAAATAAATAAAATAAATGACTAACTTAAGTAGAAGACACAAGTTACCACCGAGCCATCAGTTGCAGTATACACCAAAGTGAACATAAATCTGCCAAACACACTTACAAGTTAATTAATATACACCATAGCTCACACTTAAACCACCCAACAGTTAATAGTTAAAATATGAACCTTGCCCAGCTGGTAGGGTGTGCGTGTGTGTGTGTGTGTGTGTGTGTTAGAGGGTGCAGGGGTCACATTAGCTGTATAGACTGTCACTATGGGAAGCAGCATCATCTGTGTCATCAACTTGTGTAGTAGTAGTAGTAGTAGTAGTAGTATTTTAGTAGTATTCGTAGTAGTAGTAGTAATAGATTCATCAACACAGACCAACTCTTACTCCTCACCCGTCACCGTCAACACCAGTCAGCGTCAGCAACGAGTTATGTCTTTATTATACGCTTCTAACCTCAGCCTCACGCACCAGAGGACCAGGGATGTAGATGAGAACCTTAGAGTGAATCGTCAGGTCTGGGGGAGGAGGAGATATGCAGGAGGTAAACAATTGATTGATTGCTCTCTCTCTCTCTCTCTCTCTCTCTCTCTCTCTCTCTCTCTCTCTCTCTCTCTCTCTCTCACTTGAAGGAACATACTGAGTTATATCCTGGAAGGGGCCGTTGTTGCAATACTATAATGAGGAGCGTGTAACTGTAACAGGGAGAAAAAAACACGTCACACATTATGACACACGGCACGACAACCAGGGGTGGAGGGAAGGAAGGAAGATGGTGCTGGCAATGGAGAGGGAAAGGGCGTGAAGAAGGGGAGAAGGAAGGGAAGGGTCTGATGGATGGACGAGGAGCAGGTGAGATGAGGGAGGGAGGGAGGGACGGAGGGAGTCACCTAGGCAGGAAGGAAGCAACACCAGGCCCCAGAGGTCGTCACTTGGGGCAAGCTGAGGCCATTGTGTGAACTTGCAGACACTAAAATGCAACAGAAGGAAAAAGACAAAGGAATTGGAAGAGAGGGAAGCAACATCAAGGACAGAGGACCTCCACTTAGTATTTTCAGAGACTAATTCCTGTTTACTTTTATACCAGTTACATGACACAGCTGACAGGCTCTGCGATAGCATGCTTGTGACTTGACACTAACATTACAGCACTATGGCCTGACATGACTGCCTCTCAAGAGAAACAGTGTTTGACAATACAAAGGTCCCTCCGAGCTGCGATATGACATAACAATAACATTAAAAGACAGTCATATGACATGACTTACACGACAGTGTCTCCATCCGTGTCATCATGTCGTTGGGTGAAGACGACAGTGTCACCAGACAAGGATGAGGACCAATTGAGCTGTTGTTACAGGAGCTTCGACTGATAGTGACGTAAGCATCAGCTGATCGTTATGAACAAAGCGTCTTGACCGAGTTATGACCGTGGTAGGAGGGCGGTTGCAGTCAAAGAAATGCACTTGGTTGATACTGTTATCTGCAATATTGGGATCTCTACCGCAGAAGGGAAAGAGGGGAAGAAACAATAAAAAAAGGTAGATGGTGAAAGGGTTGGAACACTACACGGGGGAAAAGGAAGACAGTGATGAAGGAGATTAGGGGACTATAAGAATGAAAAGAATAAAAGCGGGAGAATAAGAACAGTAAAAGGAAAAGGGGGGTAGAGGAGAGGAAGGAGGAGGAAGGGAGAGACAAGAAAATGACGGATCAGAAGGGAGAATGGCAGAAGAAGAGTTGTAAGAGAGAGGGAGAATCAGAGGGGGAGCTATTCTGGTCCCCTCACAACATGACCTCGCCCCACTATGTCTGTGGCGGCATCTATCACCCTCACCATACAACTCGTAACGCTCAGTGTTTACGTTTCATCTCCTCACATTGACGTTGATCAGGTGATGGTAAAACAGACTAAGTGCTCACCTATAAAACACCAAATACAATATCCGAAGAATTTACAGCACAAGTGAAGAAAAAAATCGAAAACTATCTGGCAATCTTTGTAAATTATGTCTCATATAAACAACTCGGGTCTTGTATAAATCTTCACCCAACAGACACGTAACTCTTGCGACAGACAGGTGATGACAACACTGCAAAACAAAACCAGTGAGCGCATCTCCACAGCCTCGAGAGACCACACAGGAGAAGACAGACACATATGGCCGTATTGTAAACAGTTATACACCGGCACTGCAGGAAAAGGTTGAGTGAACGTTCATCTAGTACAGATCCCCAAAAGTGGATCACTAATATCCCAGGAGGAAACCAAAGGCCCTGTTGCTTCCTGGTGCTGGCGGTGTCTTATCAGGAGGTACCGTGAAGAATAATACCGGTGATGCTTTTTACCGCCACCTTCCTTCCTGCAGCATCCCGCCCGCCTGCCCGCCCGATGGTGCACAGAACCCCACCATCTGTCAGCAGGTCGTCAGGTTGTGGACACGCCTCTCTCACCTCCAGCTGTGCTTAGCGTCAACCACACTCATCACCCTAGACGACCTGCCGTTGCCCCTTCATGGTGGACGGGTCACCTACAACCCAACTAATGATGTGCTTTGCTTTCCGACCAAAGGACATACACGCTCTGGCTCTCCCACGCCACCCTCCTGACACTCACAGACCTGTTATCCACCTCCCCCTGCTACTGTCGACACCCCCAGACTTGTTCACCGCCTCCCAGACCTCCATCAAGGCCCCCTCAAGAGTGTGGACGTGTGACAGGAGCCGCTGTGACGGAGGTGCGACAGGAAGTGTGTGTCTGTGTGTGTGTGAGGGGAAGCAAAGGGGTGAGGACGGGGCGCTCATTAGACCTTACTGTATCTTATCTCTCCTTCCCTCTCTCTTCCTTCTTCCTTTGTCACTTTTTTCCCCCCTGTTCTTCTAGTTTTATCTTATGACTGTGAAGTCTCTCCCTCCATCCCCTGTCTCTGTCTTTCTCCAAACAAATTCCACGAGAAATAGAAAATAAGAATCATTATACATACTCTCTCTCTCTCTCTCTCTCTCTCTCTCTCTCTCTCTCTCTCTCTCTCTCTCTCTCTCTCTCTCCCTAGTACCGTTTTCTAAGTCACGTGGAAAATAAGTTTCAATTTACACACCATCTCCTTTAACCCTCTTCTATCTCTCTCTCTCCTCCTCTCCACCCCCCTCCCCCTCTAGTAGCAAGTTCTGCGTTAAGTAGAAAATGAGTTTCAATTTAGGTATGTTTGTTATGCCAGAGCCGCAAGGAGGGAGGAATGGTGGGGGGTGAGCCGCAAGGAGGAAGGGGGAGAGGGGTAAGAAGGGGCAGGTCACAAGAAGGGGGAGGAGAGAAAGGAGGGACGGATAGGGTGGGTCACAAAGAGGAAG